ATAATCTCAATGTGCAGAACCGAAATTAGGCAAGGAGTAACAGTAGAAAAGGAATTGGATGCCAGAGACAGGAATGTTTTCCAACCAGGTTACTGCAGGCAAAGGAAAGCACTGTGTCTTCAACATTGGGCTCCTAACTTACACACAAAAGAAGAACTGGTACTAAGGGAGGAATGAGACCTGAAACGCCAGTGGTAGAATCAGGGTGATGCAGGCAAATTCTTCCACCAATGAAGTGGTTTGACTAGTTTTCTACTGAACTTTTTTTCAGACTTTTTTCTGTTGTGTAGAGTGAATATTAGAAGTGTGAGTACAGTACATGGTATCTATTTGTTGAATATGTATACTGACTATTGTGTATCTGCTCTTTCAAAGCAAATGAAAGAATATTTAGTAAGTCTTGTGTACCTATTGTGAGGGCTGGACAGGGGTCTTTGATGGACTTCATTGTCACTTCTAAAGAATTTCATCTTAACATGACATTCAAACTAAACACTTCACATCAAACACAATTTTATAAGCAAGTTGCACATGTCATGGTTTGAAGTTTTTCCTTCTTTAGAAACCTATCAATGTTTGGTAGAAATTCAACCACATTTTTCATCAAGTGGAAGAGTTTGCCAGCATTTTACTAGAAGCCAGAGAGATAGGAAACAGGTCTTTGATCTCTGGTGAACCAAGTAAAATCCTGGCAATATGGAAAAAGGAGGAAGGAAAATGTGGCATAAATCCAATTCTTAATTCTGATTACAGTTGTTGTTTATTCACTCAGTTGCTTCCAACTCTTCATGATCTCATGGACCAGCCCTTGCCAGAGCTCCCTGTCGGCTGTCACCACCCCCAGCTCCTTCAGAGTCAAGCCAGTCACTTCAAGAATACCATCCATCCATCTTGCTCTTGGTCGGCCCCTCTTCCATTTTCTTTCCATTTTCCCAAGCATCATTGTCTTCTCTAAGCTTTCCTTTCTTCTCATGATGTGGTCAAAGTACTTCATCTTTGCCTTTACTACCTATCCTTCCCTCCACGAGCAGTCGGGCTTTATTTCCTGAAGTATGGGCTGGTTGGATCTTCTTGTGGTCCAAGGCACTCTCAGAATTTTGCTCTAACACTACAGTTCAAAAACACCTATCTTCCTTCGCTCAGTTTTCCTTATGGTCAAGCTCTCATATCCGTAGGTGACTATGGGGAATACCATTGCTTTAACTATGCGGATCTTCGTTGCAAGTGTGGTGTCTTCTGATTACAGTAGATCCATTCAATCAATTAATGAATAGCAAATCAACACATGTATAAATCCTACCGTTTCCATGGATCTCCTCTAGTTAGAGTTGGATTTAGGTTATGAGCCCAACATTTTCATTTGACTTGTGAAAAGTACAAAGTTAAATGATGAGTTAATTCCTTTGCTTTAAAACAGGAGTAGGAGAAATACAGTTCTACAGAAGATGAGGTGCTGCAACCTCCATCATCCCTTACCATTATGCTGGCTGGACTTGGCAGGAATACCTGAAAGTCCACCTGGAAGGCTACACTTTAACCACAGTACTTTAAAAGAAGGCAGACTTTGCCCATTTGTAGGCTTCATAGGCAGCCATTGAAAAACAGGTAAACACAAAACTGAACTGAAAACAAATGTGAACTAGGAAATAGTTTGAAGGTGAAATCTTTAGCTTCACCTCAAAACAGGTTCAGGGTTGCTTTAGGTGCATTGTAGGTCCTGTGGTGAGCAAATAGTTGGACAAGATGAGTTACAGATTCTCATCTTAATTCTATGCTGGTTTTGGTAAATTGTGGTAGGGAGACACTGTCTAGTTGAAGTATTTAAACTGGACCAAGATTCCCATTGGATGTTTCCAAGTCCTTGCGTATCTTGTAAAATTATCAGTTTCATGATTTAAATTGCCAATTAAATATATCATATGCTCTAAAACAGAAATTATCAACCTGTGAATCTCCAGATGTCATTAAACTACCCCCCCCCCCCAAAAAAAACCCCCTTCATTATTTTGACTAGGGCTTCTGGAAAGAAACAGCCAAAAAATCTGGGGATTCAAAGTGTGGAACCACTTTTCTAAAATATATGCATGACCTTCAAATTTTTTTTTTAAAAAAACAATTACTGAGAAAGAACACTTCCCTCAGATGCTCTGATGATTTTCTCTTTCTCTCCAAACCAAAATATAGTACTGAAGGGAATGTTTGTTAGGCAATCCTCATTTCTCTTTGAAGGAATTAAAAGGTGATTAGAAAGAGCGAGAGGGAGAATAAAATAATTAACCAGTATGTCTACTGCACCAGAATGAAAAGTGGGTAGGTAATAAGGGTCGTTTGTCATTATTTGATTCGCTTATTAAATGAGCACTTGTTTTAGCTTTGAAAAGAGAGAAGGGCTTATTTAGGTACGGTAACGGGAAAGCAAATTGCCTCTACTGCTGAGATTCTAACCACATGCAATGAATAGATGTCTAATAATATGGGGAACATTCTGCAAATCACTTCTAGGACTCTGCTGAGCAATCCTGCTGCGTGAAATGCTGCGATACCCACAGAGGTGAAATTGGCTCTTGCCATTTTCCCAGCTGTGCCTCCTCCACTACCACAGAGGGATTTAAAAGAAATGATTCAGGAGAAGAAACCTCTCTTTTACCTTGGGATTTGCGTGCTGAAATTTCTTAAGGATCTTTGAAATGCTCACCCACACAAGTGGTTGTTCTTAATTTCTCATTGGGTACAGAGGAAACCCTGGAGTGTGTGTTTCAAAGTGGGCAGGATGGCGTACAGGGATGAATGTTGCTATTTTCCCTTAGCCAAACTCTGGAAAAGGGCAGCTGTCATGCTGTTCTGGTAACCAGTGTGGCCCTGGTTTTATCAGGGTTGCGTTGATGTCATGAATGTGCAGGAGAATGGGACCTAGAATTTATCATCCTGAATTCAGCAGTTGTTCTTTTGTTTCCTCTGTCCCTCTTTTGAAGTCAAGACCCAGATAGGCCAAATGTGTCACAGATACAATTGTATTTATTGCTGTGTTTATTAATCCCCCCTCCAAATGAAGATTTGTTAATTGTTGTTTGAGGCTTACCCTACTCCTTTTTTAATTTTGTAGATTTCTTTCCAGCATGGCATTTGTGATAGAACTGTATAGGTCCCAGCTCATTTTGTTAGGCTATCCCACCCATAGCTTGAGAACAGCCATTTCACTGTTAGTTTTACGAGGGGGGAGCTTAAGGAAACCTTTTCTTGTTTGGAGCAGTAAGTCGTCCCACCCCTTTGCCTGGGGAAAGGGAGCCATCTTTAGTTTGGGGTCTCAGGGATTTGAGATCGTCAGGGGAGGCCCTTCTCTCGATCTTGCCTGCTTCACAAGCACATCTGGCGGGGATGAGAGATAGGGCCTTCTCTGTGGTGACTCCTCAGCTATGGAACTCCCTACCTAGGGATATTAGATCGGCCCCCTCCCTCCTGACCTTTAAAAAAAACCCTGAAAACTTGGCTTTTTTAGTATAACTTAGCATAACTTAGAAAAACTTGAATTGGAAAATAACCTAGGAACGGCTATAACGATGGAATGGATGAGGACTGAACATGAAGACATAGTTTTAAAACTTTTTATTGTTTACTGTTTTTATGCTTTTAAATGTTTAGAGATTTTTTTACTTTTGTTAATGTATGTATTTTATATATGGCATTGAATTGTGCCGACTTGTTCGCCGCCCTGAGTCACCTTTGGGCCGATATGGGCAGGGTAGAAATAGCGTCAAATAAAATATATAAATAAATTACCACCTGAGAATCTTGGAAGCAAGATGTATCTATAGTTGGTCTCAGCGAGATCCAGGCTTGGACAAGCCATTTCAAGCCAATACTACTACTACTATTCTGGGAACATATGCGGCTATACTGATCTACCATTGATCAGTGACAGCCTGTGGCGTTTCCGCCACCTTCAGTAAGGTACCAGGCCTCAATAGGAGAGACCTGCTCTCTCAGCTTCTGGCCTCATCACTTTGGGCACTGGGCGCCCCAGAGGCCCCTTTACCAGAGAAAGTGAGTAAGGGAATCTTTTGTCTGTCCTTCATCTACAGAATCATCTACGAGCAGCGACTTCTACAACAACCAGTTGCCTTCAAATTTTACCGTTTCTTGTTACTGTTTCTTGAAAGCAATAGCATGGACATTGACTCTGTGGGATTCGTTTCTCAAACAGGAAGGCAAACCAGCATCCCCCAAGCTGATAGAAAGTTAAGACATGTTAGTGCTAAAGACATTTAAAGCAGCTTAGGTGTGACAGGACAGTACTACTTTCCCACATGGGTGGAATTGTGTGTTCCTGTGTGGCAAGAGACTATGCTTCTAGGAGTCATCCATCTCCGATAGAGTTTTGCAGAGGAGCCAAACTACTGATGCAGCTGTTGGGCTGCATCAGTAGTGCAGCATGACACTGGCAGAGAATTTCTCAGAGACAAAAATGACAACAGCATCATTGCTAACACTACTGCAGAGAATACTTTTAGATTTTTTTTTATCCTGAAACCCCTATGATGAGTTAATCCAAAATGAAATGAGATCGTGTCAAAAGATGATACCTCCAGGTCCGAAGACCCTCAATCAGCAAAAATAACTATTACCAGAATATGGGAAACATGAATTAGAGAAGATAGACATAGTAAAACAGGACATGGGATGTGTAATACTTGGGAAGGGTGTGCTAAGGTAGTCAGGAATGAAATATTTTGAGTCAGACAATTATACATTGTTTTATTCAGGAAATAAACAAGAAGTGCCTATAATAGGAATTCATGGTGTTCCGTTGATGCTGCTGAGGGAAGAGGAGGAGACGATGATGACGACGGAGGAAGGAGGAGGAGGAAAAGAAGAGACGGCGACGCTGTTGCTGCCAGGGGCCTGTTGTCATCGCCGATGCAGTTGCTGTCACTGCTCCTCTCCACGGCGGTTCGGCCCAGCAAGGCCCCGGAGGAGACCCCGCTGCCGCCACTGTGGGAAGCATGAGCGACAACAATGACATCGAGGTGGAGAGCAACGCTGACAAATGTGCTCACCACAATGCACTAGAGCGGAAACGTGGGGACCACATCAAGGACAGCTTCCACACCCTGCGGGACTCTGTGCCATTGCTTCAGGGAGAGAAGGCATCCCGGGCCCAAATCCTAGATAAAGCCACAGAGTACATCCAGTACATGCGTTGGAAAAACCACACACACCAGCAAGCTATTGATGATCTAAAGCGCCAGAATGCACTTCTGGAGCAGCAGGTTCGTGCACTGGAGAAGGCAAGGTCAAGTGCTCAGCTGCAGGCCAAATATTCCTCTTCAGACAACAGCCTCTACACCAACCCCAAGGGCAGCACCATCTCCGCTTTCGATGGCGGCTCTGACTCCAGTTCAGAGTCTGAGCTGGAAGAGCCCCAGAGCCGGAAGAAGCTTCGTATGGAGGCCAGCTAGAAGAGGCCTGATTTCCCGCTGCCATTAGACACTTGCTGGCTGCTTAAGGACTTTCCTCTTTCCTCCYCTTTAGTAAAGGCTCTCGGACTGCAATTTCTTCCTGTTCCTTGTCCCTTTCTGCCCCTTCTTGAGTTWAACCCATATTATGGCATGGCAGCTTAYCTTCAGGAAGACCCCAGCAGCTGTAGTGTGAAGCAGGATGSGGATTTCTCTCGTCCTGCCCTGTGGTTGCACATCTCTAGTRCCAGGAATGCCCAGGSCATTTGATGAACTCCATGAGTCTGTAATTGCCTGGTYGGGACAGGGAGCTCTCTATTCTTCCACTAGAGCCACACCAGCCTCTCTGTTGCATTTTTCCCTGACCAATCTTGATTTATTTCTTGGTGGGAGGGAGCACAGGATACCTGTGTACGTGCCTCTTGTTTGAAGTGACAGTGCAGGATTCACAGTGAAACAAAGAGATGAATTTCCTTTTTGTATCTTGGCAAATGATTAATTGGTATTTATTTCCTCCTATAGAAACTCAATCTGGTCAGATTCCTCCTCTTCCTGCAGACCTTAGTCTTATGAAGGAATTCATTATTCAGGAAAGAGTGGTTTTTGTTTTGGTAGACATTATATCACAATTGGAGAGAAGATCACAGAGTCCAGCTCAAGTTAACCTCATATTTAGAAGGATTTTGTCAAATGCTTGTAGCAAGTCGAAGTCTTCAAAACAGTCTGTTCTGCTCCATTTCTTTGCCAGGCAAAAAAAAAAAAGTCTGTGGCTATATCACCAAGGAGTTTCCTGGCAGAATGCACTATTTAGTTATGCTTTCAGACCTCTCTCAGACAGGCAACCCAGCAAATGCTTCCAGAAAAATTCTGAAAGTATAAATCACTCTCAACTATGGGCAGTGCTTGAAGGAATTAAAGTTGTGCTTCAGGTTTTTTGTTTTGTTTTGTTTTTACTTCAACAGTTTTGACAGTTTTGTTTTTACTTCAGCTGTATAAATCTGGCAAAAACCAGTGCTCACATTGCTCCAACATGAAGGTCATCCATCTTTGTGATAAATAGGATTAGCAGGCACAAGGTATGCTTCCAATATGGAAACAGCGGAAAAAGCAGACAACCAAATGCTAAAAGACTCTAAACAACTGAAGCGACAGTACATAAAATGGAGGTGAAATTTCCAGCAGTTCAGATATACTACAGCAAACCAAGGCTTAATATGCTACTTTGGTATGAAATAATGGGCATTTGGATAGTTTCTTAATACAGAGCATGGAATGGTAACTTTTCTATGAGCTGTAGTCCAAATAATAACTTCTACAAGCACTGTGTTGTCAAAGGCTTTCATGGCCGGAATCACTGGGTTGCTGAGAATTTTCTGGGCTGTATGGCCAGGAGAATGCTTCTGGAACATGTTCTACAAGCACTGTTTACATAGTTATGGTGCAATAAAGTATAAGGATTGCCTTATTGGATATTACCAACAAGGCAACACCTCCTTTAACACGCTAAGGACCTCATTACGTAGAGGTGATAGAAAGGGGATTTGCCATGCAGCGTGGCAAATCCAGCGGGCAGCGTGGAAATGCAGCATGGAAATGCAGCATACATCACTGCATTGCCCCCTTATCCATCCCATGGGAGAAGTGTTATTGCCCAGCTCCCCCCCCCCCCCCCCCCATTCATCCTATTCTTTCCTATGAGAACACAGAAAGCCTCCAGTGTTCTCTGGCAAGCATTCTAACATGTTGCCAGGAGGCTGGAAGGGTGGAGCCCCATCAGAAGTAGCTGTGCGTTGTCTGATGGCATCCGGGAGGCTCTGTCCTTCCAGAATCTTCCAAGCACCCTAGGACATAAACATCTCCAATGTGAAAAGGTTGTCAAGGAGCCGTCATCTTTGTCTTTTGGAAACTCAAAAACAGGGCTACGAAGTGGCCAGATTTCTTTTGTTGAACACACACAATAACACAAATATACTTCACGTTAGTGGGTCACTGTGATTCAGGCCTGCAGCCGTGGGGGGGTTAGGAGTTCAACCCCCCCCCCCCGAAATTTTTCAGATTAAAAAAAACCTGGTTTACTCATGAATTTTAACTGGTTAACCAAATCCCCATGCAAAGTCTATGAGACGCAAAAAATTAAGCACTATCTCAAGCAAATATTGACAATTTATTCACACTGTCATTACTTGCAACAATAGCAGATGTAGTGAAGCAACCAAGTTTGGGGAGAGGGTGTTGAATGCTCTCATTAAGGAGGCTAGACTTGATGGAGGTGGTTGACAGGGGCAGAGCTGTAGGCTATTGAAGGCTGCTCTGCCCTCTGCTGTGCTCTTTGCTTCAGCGTGACCCTAACCCCCCCCCCAATTTTCGACCCCCCCCTGGAAATTTTCAACCCTCCCCGAATTTTTTTTCTGGTTATGGCCCTGCTGTGATTTCATATTCTATGGAATAATAGGCCACATCTGAGGCACCCACTCAGGCTTTATGTGTGCAACATTCCTAAATTCAAAATGAAATTGTTGCATCCACAGAAGTTAACCTTGGGACTCTCAGTACAGCTAGCTACTATCTTATAGTACCAGCTCTTCAGAGCCCACCCAAGACATTCTGCTACATGATATGAAAGGTTTTGCCCCCTTCCTAATTCATGTAGAGAAACCGGGGCAAAAAACTAATTTAAGGAAAAGAGGGAAAGGTTTGCTGAAAAGGAAAATAATAGAATTGAGAGCAGACAGGAGAAAATCATAGTCATTCTCTACCTCACACACCCCACCCATTCTTTCTCTTCACAGCTGTCCACTATTTCTTTGGGCTTCAGTGAAAGATATGCCAGAACACTGGAGCATCTTTTCTGGAATAATGAAATCACAGCAAAAACAGTATAATGCTGTTACCATGCATGTTTTTTTTTTCTTGTGTTGTTTGGATGTTAGGATCTTCCAACTCACTATAACTTTCTACCTTGGCAAGATAACATACCCTCCCACATTTCACAAACCCTAACTGCAATCCCACCACGCAACACCATAGTGTGATCAAGGTGGTAAAAGTTACTGAGGGAGGGCACTCAAGTGAGGAGAAAGTGCAACTGTTGCTTTTGTTTGAACCTAGTGGGAAGGACAAGATTCTTCCTGTCTTCTCCTCTCTCTCCAATTTTGGCTTTTGAATTCAGTTTGCATCAATTAAAGGAAACTGAGAACAAAGGGGGAATGTGGGAGGAGATTAAAAAACTAGGACATTTTAAAAGTCACTGAAAAAGTGGGATAACAGAGGATTAATCAGGGCTTTCCCTTTCAAATTGGGCTAGTGGGAGACTATGGATGCAGAAATTTCATACAACTTTTGCATGTATGGTCTTTTTCCCCTTTTTGCCAGGGCAGCCTGTTTGGCTCATGAAGAAATAAAATGTTGACTTGTATTGATATTTTAAAATTATTGCTTATTTGGTTAACCATAAAGTTAACCATATGCTAATTTTATTCCTTTTCTAATTAAGTGTTGTTTGATCTTCTGGGTTTGTTCAATAGCAATGAAACCTTTTTTTTGGCAACCAAAGGTTGAACATTGCAAGGATCCCAGGGACTCCGAATGCTTCTCCCTACCTCCTGTGGGATAGGCTTGTGGTGTGGATTAACTGACTTGCCTGAACTTTCCAAGAATAAGGATCTATGTTGTTGTAACTCATATCCTCAGAAACATTGGCAATAAATGACTTTTACCCTATGTGAAGGCAGGGTTATACAGGCATGTTGTGCTATAGATTCCCACATGGCAGCAGTAAATCAAATATTCTGTCTCTTTCAGAGTTAAACATATGGCTTCCTGCTAGCTACTGCAGTTCACAGTTATTTCGAAGGCTTAGCACTGGTTGCCTCATGAGTTATTGCAAAACTGCAACTGATAGGTGATGCTGAACCTGGCCTTTACTCATTTGCATAAGGGGAAAAAACATTTTCAGAAATTGCTTGGAGGTGGTTTTCAGCACTAAAGAACACTATGACCTTTTTAAAAAATGGGATCCATATTTTCTAGCACAGGTAGGAAAATGGCAAGAAGAGTCAGTTTTGATCTTTCTGTAATGATTGTTGTAAAGCATGAAGTTTAGCTGAGGAGTCAGCCAGTCAGGTGCTGAAATCCTACTTGAATATAAAAGTATTTGCCTGCCAGCTATTAATATCTGACAAAGTCTGCATAGTTATGGTAGCTATAGCTCAGCAATAAACTGCAGTAAAGACCTTGAAATTTGATAGAATGGTTTTGGCCTCCTTCTGAATTGCAGTGCTCTGTTTCAAGCCAAATTTCTAAACAAGGGGCTTCTTATAAACAAAAAACATGATTGCCATAACCCATCTTGAATTTTTAAAGGAGGGAGAACAGGAGAGAAAAACTGCTACTAAAAATTGTTGAAGTAGGAAAAAGACATGGAAAAACATGAGAGCTAAAACACAAATACTAGGAACATGGATAAAAGAATATGTGCCTGGTGAGCATGTTAAACTGAACGAGCCAGAATAGAAAAACACTCCCCAGGATGAAGATAAGCCACAGAGGTTTATTCAATTTGAGCAAAGGTGTACAAGTACAAATGAATGCTTCAAAGTGTACAAGCATAAAACATACAGAGAATAAATATGTTTTAAATGGTTTGACAGCTATTCAAAACTCCCGCTTCCCTCCCTGATTGGCTGAGAGAGGGGCTGGTCTGGATTTAAGCTGTGATTGGCTGAGACGCTGCTGACATTGCCGCTTGCAGGTGGGGATCCTCGTTCATGGGGAAATGACAGCCAGGGATTCACCGGCTGAGGAACTAATCAGCTGGTGGGATGTCCCTTTGGAGGAGACATCATTTGTAAAGACAATTTTTAAAGAATTTATAGTGAGTTCTTGGTTAGCTCAACTGTTCAATTTCATGTTGGACAAAGACCAGAGCTTTCACAAATACACGAGACTCCTAAAATAAAAGGTGATGATCTTGGGCAATCAAAGGCTGGGCTGTCAATAAAGAGGTTTAACCAATGTACATATCCTGAGCCTCTGTTTCCACAGTCAGCAATATCTCAGCCTGAAATGGACCATTTAGCTAGATAAATCTGGGCTGACATGGGAAACTGTCTTATCTCTGCATACATGAACACTGGGTTATGATGATTGCTTGGCTGGGAAACAGCCAGAGGGATTTGCCCAATCTTCCTGTTTTCAGGAAATGTCTCAGCGGGGTTATAGAGAGGTGATTATCTCTGGGCTACATCTTGCTACATTTTATAAGGAAGCTTATGTATTTTATATAAAGGAATTAGGTACAGTATAAGAAGGATACAAGAAAAATAGATTCACTTTCTTAAAGGGCTGGAACAATAAGGCGGGGATGAATACTGGATCACTCCGGATCTCTGCTGCTTTGAAGTAGCAAAGGTTTGAATAAGTATTGGAAAATAG